TGTAGCATCTTACTACATACATTGAAGGACCTGAGCCTCCTCAAGAAATAGTCGGCTCTGTCCCTTCTTATAGATGGCCACGATGTTCTTAGACCATTCCAGTCTATCGTCGATGTGCACTCCCAGGTACTTGTACGAGTCCACCATCTCCACGCCACTCCCATGGATGTAGACAGGAGTAGGTTTGACCCTTTTCCTCCTGAAATCTACCACCAGTTCCTTTGTCTTCATTACATTCAGTTCCAAGTGGTTCTCCCCACACCACTCCACAAAGCTGGTGTCCTCCTCCTCCTGCCCACCCTTGATACATCCCACAATTGCAGAGTCATCTGAGAATTTCTGCAGGTGGCACGACTTTGAGTTGTACTTAAATTCCGAAGTATAGAGGGTGAAGAGGAATGGAGAAAGAACTGTCCCTTGAGGTGCCCCTGTGTTACTCACTACCTGTTCAGACACACAGTTCTGAAGTCTCACAGACTGTGGTCTGCCTGTCAGGTAGTCAGTGATCCACGAGGTCATGGAGGCATTGACTTGCATCTCCTCCAGCTTCCTCCTTAGAAGTAAGGGCTGTATGGTATTGAAGGCACTGGAGAAGTCGAAAAACATTATCCTTACATTGTTGCCAGCCCTGTCCAGGTGTGAGTAGCACTTACATAGTATTGGCAGTATGTAAGTTAGGTTCAGCTTAAAAATAGTTTTTGCTTTTCCCATGGTAGCTGTACCCCTGTCATTATTAATTGAATATTAATTTTTTATGATCAGAAAATGAGACTTTCTGTAGTGTTTGGAATATCTCTGTGGAAACATTGAAGCATTCTCTTTGGAATGCTCCAATATTGAACTGCATGCTAATTCTGCAGGCTGCTCCATTTACCAGAGTTTAGAAATTGACGATAAAAAGCCCAAAGGCTGTGGGAGCTGTCATTAGACGCTGCATCAGATCAATGTTAAGTCTTTAAGTCTGGGCTGTGGGGTTTTCTGCTCTTTGGTTTGAGTTCTTTGACTTTCTTTAAAAATGTGGCAGAAAACATACTGAACTTCCTTAGTTCTTAAGATATATCCTGAGACCTACATATAATGTAGTGTTAGCAACTACTGCTCTTCTGGGGTATCTGTTTTATGTGTGATGGTTAAAGAATAATTGATTTATCTTCATATCAGCACACCATCACATTTTTCAATAATTAATAGAATATGTTTGAGAAGTGGCAGCAGGGCTCCCAATATTGCAATATTGAAATAAAGACCTTACTTAGGTGAGAAATCTCTCTTGTGGCTTCCTTGATAGTTATATTTCCATGACACCACTGTGGTACATTATCTCTGAATTACAAACTTAAGAGTTAAGAATTTGACCCGTGTTTTTAGAGGTTAACTCCTTAGTTGTTTATCCAAGAGGTGGGGTGTTAAGAAGTATAAACATTGAATATCATATGTCCCAGGTATTTTCTGAGATGAATGTCAGTGATGCAGCATAAAACTAACTTACTCCAGTTTTCTACTGTGGGGATAAGAGTTTAAACCATTCAAAGCACACAATGCAAAATGCTGCTGTTAGGTCTGTCTGCAAGGTTTCATGACATAATTATAGTTCAAAAGCATGCAATGGCTGCAGACAAATGTATGCTTTTTTGGAAGAACTACTGGGTAGAATCCTTCAACTTAATCAGAAACTATCCATTGTCATGATATTTAGAGAACTAATCTTGCCTTTATGGACAGAGATGTTTTTGTTTAAAAATACCTTCTCTAAACTTAAATTTCTGTGTTTTTAAATTGTGTTTTTGGTTTGTCACTTTTTCAAGATATATTTTGGGGGAATGGGAGTGAAATGCTGTCTGACTTTTTTTTTAAATCTAAGCAGGAGTACCACTTTAAATAGCATTGCATAGTGCATTACAGTGCCTAATCTATTGCTTAATAGAGCCATCTGTACATTTTGTTTGCAGAGGCTGCAGAAGAATATTTCGAATATGATGCCGAGGAGTTTCTGGTTTTCCTGACCCTGTTGATCACTGAAGGACGAACCCCAGAATGCTCAGTAAAGGGTCGGACTGAAGGTGTTCACTGCCCTCCAGCCCAGTCAGGGCAGCCCGTCAACACCAAGCATGAGTGCAGTGAGAACCTACCACAGGTATCAAGCTACTAGAATTGCTCTTCCTACAGCCAAAGACAAAATTCACACCACTGTTTAATTTGAATAATTTTTTTTCCAGATAAGTAGACTTATTTTTCCACATTTTTTAAGTAAAAAATCTTAATCGGGAATTGTCAAAAGGCCTTGTAGAACTAGTAGTTAAAAAAGGCCTCCTCAGACATCTATATGTTATAGTGCCATATCGTTCTGGATTTTAACTTGTCAAGATTTTTGTATGTTAAACTCTTCAGGACGCTAAGCATGTTTAATATCTGATACTTGGACAGTGTCGACAAGCCAGGAGGACGAGGTCTGAGGTCATGCTGCTCTGGAGGAATAACATTCCCATTATGATTGAGGTGATGCTGCTTCCAGATTGTTGCTATAGCGATGAAGGACCGACTACTGATGGGAATGACATAAATGACCCTGCTGTCAAGCAGGATGCATTGTTGTTAGAAAGATGGACCTTGCAGCCAGTTCCCAGACAGTAAGTGTGAAGCATCTTTGCCATTTCAAATACAAGAAACGTTAATGACAAGAGCACACCAATCAGCCAGTCATCTTCACCATTTTCCTAGACACTATTAAGTCATATTAAGTGATCATATTAAGTGTTTTGAGACTATAGTATTTTGTGCCTCCACAAATATTTACCAGTAATTCTTTCTATGTAACATTAATATTTGGTGCAATTGTGATTTTTTAAAAACATTTTAGTGTGTTCCTGAATGAGGGAGTTAATAATTTCTAACTTTAAATTTGACTATTTTACCTTTTCATTGTTTTGTTGTTGCACTGGATTGTATGGTTACTTATAATTTGCTTTTTATTTGGTAAATGTTTATGCATAATGTTTTTAAAAAAGGGCATACATCTTTCCAGTTATATATTCTGTGTTTAATCTCTTTTAAAAAAGCATAAAAATGACCGTGCATTTTTCTTCAGAAGTGGAGATCGCTTCATTGAGGAGAAGACCCTGCTTCTGGCTGTCCGCTCGTATGTGTTCTTTTCCCAGCTGAGTGCATGGCTTAGTGCTTCACATGGTGTCGTTCCCAGGAATATTCTCTACAGGTAAGGGGCTCTGGAATGACTTGCAGCCTAGACTTTGCTGTCCAGAAATTATTAGGACATGCTCTCTAAATTCCATTATAATTTATTAAACTCTGTCAACATTTTGGCACAGAATAGCCTTCGTCAGGACAGATTAGAGTGGAAAGTGGAGGCTATGCCTCCTGTGATGTGGATAGGACAAACAAAAGCAATAATTACCAAAGCCACTTATTCCATAGAGTAGTGGGTGTAACATCTTTCGATTCTGTCATTTTACTCAGAGAGCTGTTATTCAACTCTAATTTCAGTATTTAAGCCTTTGTGCCCCAAGTAAAGTCTTGGGTTTATTTTTTCACTGCAAAGTCAAATACGTACAAACCCGCTGACCACTTTATCATTAAGCACTAGATCACTTTTGTGGTCTTTCAGTAAATACCATCTGTTCATAGCCACAATGTGAAAATGGCACAGCATTGGATATTTTGTTTTTAACTACAATTTTTTGTGTATAGCATTTTTATAAATTATTTGCTTTTAGTCTAAATTAAGCAAAGCCTGTTATGACTTATTCATTACTTTGTGTAAAAATAGTGGATGTCAGAATCGGAATGCATTATTATTTATGATGTCTGTACTTGTGAAAGCTGTACTAAAGGAGACTTAAATTCATTGCTTATTTACTGTGGTTTGAGGTTGTTAACTTAAGCTAAACTCTTATAAAGTGAGAAGATTTTTCACTGGCATTTTTTAGATCAATGCTGAGAAAAACTTAACTACAGTATCACAGGAAGTATGTGTTTTGCTTCAGAAAACCTGGTGGTTGAATGGAGAAGAAAAAAAAAGTCTTAATTTATATATTTGTAAATATATTAATTCAAATGTATACACTATTTTTTTACTTTGTTTTAAATAGTACAAGACTGACACAGATATGTATTCTTTTTTTAGGATCAGTGCAGCTGATGAAGAATTGGTCTGGAATTTTTCTCAGCCACCAACTGAGCATGTCTTTCCAGTCCCAAATGTTTCCCATAGTGTGGCTTTGAAAGTCAGTGTCCAGTCCCTTCCCAGACAGCCAAATTACCCGGTTTTAAAATGTAGCATTCACACTAGCCTAACGTTCTATGGAAAGAAGCTCCAAGGCCAGGAAGAAAGACCAATCACGAGTGTAAACCGTTGTAACCTACAAGGGTCCTCCCTCATATACAATAAACCAGCCTGGTCGCCGTCAGCAGAAACCATAGTAAATCCCAGGAAATGCCCGCTTCCAGAAGTCACTTCCCCCAGCAAAGCTGTGAGATGGTTTTATGCCAAATTAAATAATTCCTCTGATATTGGATCTTTGCTGCCTAAAAAACAGGGTTATGGTACTATAAATGGTGGAGAAATTTCAAAGCTGCCTGCCTTTGAGCCACCAGTGAGATCATTCAAGTCCCTGACCTTAGTAGATCCCCTTGGGCCTCCCAGCCAAGGCAGTAGACCTCCTTCAGGTGAAACCAATCCCCTTATTGGGTCTCTTCTTCAGGAGAGGCAAGAGGTGATAGCTCGAATTGCCCAGCATTTGAATTACTGTGATCCCACTGCACCACATATCCCTGGAAGCCTGTTTAGCAACCATGAACCACATGGCTCAAAAGCCTTCTGGAGCTTGCATGAAGAAGATGGCTTTTCCAAAAAGAGCAAAGAGCCTGGCTTCCTGTGCCATGCCTCACAAGATGTCCCTTCCCCTGAAAACAGTTATGAAGGGAAGAGCAGGTCCTCTCCCTTTGATACCCCCCTGAATCTATGTAGCAAAGCCAAAATTGATGGTGGATTGAGGCCTTCCCCTAAGCCAGTAGCATGCAGAAGGCTGCTTCTGCCAGAATCCGCTGAGAATTCTAGAATATCAGAGGCGGTACAGGATATTTCGAGACTGATTCAAGACACGTTTCAGGAGGCTCAGAACAAATGCAATGGTCTCCATAATTGCACACCCAAAACTTGCAAAGAAGGCACATTGAAAGCACCAAGTACATTGGAGAGAGTATGCTCTAGTCCTGACAGTCAGTTTAAAGGCCAAGTACCATGCCACGATACCTCTCAAGCTTTCATTAAAGAAATTAGCACTGATTTACAAATTTGCACAGACTATAAAAGTAGCAGAACAAAAATTACCGACAATAACAAACATGACTGTTCCATTAGACTTCAGAATGAGGCCTGTAAAAAACTTGAATATGAAAAAAATCAATCTGAATTGGGAACTTCAGATAGTTTACACAATGCCAAAAAGGACCCCAGGAACTCTTTTACTGAAGGACATATGGAAAGAAATGAAGACATTCAGGGAGGGAATCGATTCAAAGTCACAGACACCTCTCTGCGTACAGATGTTGCTAATACCAAGAGTCCAGATCAGGTGGATAAGTCTAAACCTGTGCAAGATGAAAATACAGATCCTACAGATTCCAGCACGTTTGCGGGCCTTACCCAGAGAGTCTCCCACGAAGATCAAACAGTGAAGGCCGAAAGAGCACCCGCTGATGTTGTGGTAAGATATTTAAATTCATACTTGGCTTTTAAACTTTATGCTATAGAGACAGTAAGAGAATTAGGATTTATTTGCCAATAAGTATTTTATTAAATTTCATTTTAAGAGATTATGGATTTATAACTGTTTAACCTAACTGGTTTCCTGCATGTCTTGATTGGATATATTATGGTAGGTGTAAGTATATTAAGTAAGTCTGACGTGTCTAGGAAACAAATAGTAGCATAGTAGTTTGACATTTCTTTGTGATTTGCATCATGAATGAAGACATCATGAAAACAGTGAGGATATCTGTTTATTTGTTTTCCATTTGACTTCTTTTAATATTTTATTTTCTGTAGTTACAGTATATATGTTAGAGTGCTTTCTGTATAGGAGGTGTGCATTTTTGTATTATAATAAATTGTCACGGGTGAAATGTATTTACTGCCTATTAGTTTGAACTGCTAGTTCAAAGCCAACCAGTAGCTTTATTTCCATTGATCATAACATTTATTATTTTCATGATATATTTACCCTTGAATTTTAAAATCGGGAAATTAAAGTAGAACAGGAATAACTGTACATTTACCTGGTTCACCCTTTCATCTTTGGAACTTTATACTTATGGAATTGCCTGCAACTTTGGTACCTCCTTCCTAGTTACTGATTGCAGTACTGTAGAGAAATGTTGTCCTAATTCTAGTTTCAAAGCGCATTTGAATTGAAAAAAAAAAATAACAGCCCAGTCTAATATGCAAAGTTGTAAAAGGTTGTAAATGCCAATGTTGAAGTTCATTCTAAAATTAATTGTAAATTAAATTTGGTGTGCAACTTCAGTACTTTCTTGAAATGTTTAAGTCATTCGTGTAAAACCAGAAAGATGGGTTGAATGTCCTCCTCTCCTTTTGTGAGCTTCGTGTTCTGACATAGTTCATTAAACTTTGATTGCAGTCTGACGGATAGTCAGATAGTGATAAAAGGAATGCAACCGTTTTACCACAGTAAAATTAAATTTAGTCTTTGGTTTGATAATATAGTTGTTCCTGATGTAAAGTGCATTCTGAATTCAGGTATGTTAATGGTGAACAGCACCTTGAAGTGTTTATCAAAGTCCTTTTAAGTGAGAGGCAGTATCAAAATCCTGGTGCCCTCTTATACTTAAAACTAGTCCCATTATAATTTTAGGTGTATTATATTCTTTTATTTACTAGGTGTTTGTTGTTGGGATACTTACTCTGCGGGCTGTTCCTTTCCTTCACAGAGGGTTAAAGCACAGTCTCCCTTGAAGCCTTTCAACATCTGGAAAAAGCAGAATCGTCACTCTATAGATGGGACAGCAACAAATGCCTTCCATCCCTGCACTGGACTGCCTCTGCTTTCAAGCCCTGTGAGTTGTGGCTTTTCTACATTTCAGTAGAATTTGTTTTAATTAGATGTGAAATATGTTTAGCCTTCTAACACCCTAAATATATTTATTACTCCACCTGGATATGCATGGTCTCCTGATATTTTGTCTAAAGGTTTGTGTTTAGTACACAGTCCTTCAATCATGTGCTTAGTGGCAACAGATCATCTTTGAAACAGTTTAATAGCCACAGTAAAGTAAGACTTTTGTTTCACATCCAAGTCATTAGGTACTCACACAAGACAAACCTGTGACTCACAGGGGTCTGTTTGTCAAAAGGTTCTGACTAACATCCTGTTAAAAACAGCATTGTCCAAAGAGAAAGCCGTGCAAAATATTAATTTCCTGCCTTTTTTAAGTGCGTGAGCAATAGACATGTGCAGACATTCAAACTTAAACCAGTCTTTTTATAGAAGTGACCTATATTTACAGTGAGTTAATACATAGCAGACTCTCTCAAGCTGTTTGCTATATATAGGCTTACCACTCTACCAGTAAAGCAAAAACTGTTTTGCAAAAGTAGTCAGTTTCAGCCTGTATATAAATATTTTTTGTACAGTAATATGTAATGTAATGTGTTACTTATTGAAATGTTTTTCAGGTTCCTCAAAGAAGAACACAGACTGGGTGTTTTGATTTGGACACCTCACTGATACGGTGTAAACATCTACCATGGTCCACAAATAAAAGGTACTGTTAGATCTGCTGTTCTTTGAACAAATGTGTGTTATGAGTTGGAACACATTTAATGAATGCAGACGTCACCCAGGAGAATGATTAAAAGAGAATTGACGTTTTCCAAGTATTTGAGCAGTGCTATCTGTGTAACACCTATCTGTGTATTTTCAATAATTGCTTCTCTTTTGGGCCTGAGGAACTAGTTCATTGTTTAGTGGGTACCAACAGCAAAAAAAACGGGACAGCTGAGTTACTTTCCATTTTTACAAAACTAAAAATGGAGAGTACTACTTAAATTTTTTTAATGGTCGGACCATTTGTATCTCTTAGCAAAACCTCTAGAGATGCAGTTTTCATAGCAAAATGAAACATCAGCGTAAATGCAATTGTGTACATTTTTTTTGTTTCTCTTTATTTTGTACTTTTCATTAAGTGTCATGGAGTTCTTACAATATAAAAAATGCTAACCCAAGATTGTTCCATTTCTTTCAATAGGGTGTGCTTGAAAACAATAGATAGAGATGATCAGGGACATGTTTTTAGCACAAGTGCTCCACCTACAACAAGTCTTAGCCTCCTGGGGAACTTTGAGGTATGATGTCAGTTTCTTATTAATTTAAATGGGTTTTACATTGATACGGAAATGCAGTCTCATGTAACTTAAGTGTTCAAAGATTAAAAAAAGGTCGAGCAAGTTAAAAATATTATCATAAGCGGATTAGCTTGAATACAAAAATATTTTTTCATACAATGAAATACTTAAAACACCCATGCTTATTAGTTTTAATAATGTGTGTAACATTCTGTGATTAATCAGATCATAAAGCTTAATAATCCTTAAACATGAGAGCAGAACAATATGCTTAGTCTTAAAGTCTGGGAATAAAACCTTTTTAGGTATGGTGGCTTGAAACTAGATACAAAAAACGTTTTTTTGCGATTAACTGTGAAATCCATGATGGCACCAGAAGAGTTTGCACTAGATAGAAAAGAAAACAAAATACCTTTTCTGGTTAAAATAATATTTTAAAATGTGCATATATGGAAGGTTTAATATAATATATCTAATCACATAAAATGTGTTTATCTGCAGGAGTCTGTTTTAAACTACCGTTTGGAGCCATTAGGTACAGTCGAAGGCTTCACAGCTGAGGTTGGAGCTAGCGGAATGTTTTGTCCCAGTCATATGACCCTGCCTGTGGAAGTGTCATTCTATAGTGTCTCCGATGACAATGCACCTTCTCCTTACATGGTAAGCTTGCCAGCCTTTAGCAAGGCACAGCATAATGCCATCTTAGTGTTAGCATATTTTACAAGTGGCATGGTGCTTAGCACTGCTGTTTCATAGGTTTTGGGTCCTGGGTTCAGTTAGAGGATGGTGAGCTGTGTGGAGTTTCCACAACCTTGGCCCCTGTTAGCTGAACATAGCTGAACGCAATATACCATCTTCCAGTCATGCTTAGCATAACAAGAAGAAGCAAAATTGGAAGGGAGACTGACTGGTGGATAACAACATTCCAAGTGTCTGATCATGTCTCTATTCGGATACTTTTAAAACATTGTGCTTTGCTTTCAGGTGTTTTAATTACCTCTTATTTTAAAATGCCTTTTTTTTTGGTTAGACTTTTAAGAGCAAACGTATCAACATAGATTTTTTAACTTTTAACACCATCATCAAATTAAATTATCAACTCATCTACTAATAGCAAATTGCAAATCCAGTACCTGAATGCTGCTTTTTCTTTGCTGGAGGCTTTCCCTGTGTGTCAATCAACCAGCAATCAGCATTAGGTTTGAGATTTATGATTGAAGCCTAAGTTGAGGTTATGATTTAGCCCAAATCCAGAGTTTAAGATAAATGTAACAGTGGGCTATGTTCTACAATACATGTATTTTTGTGCTGTCAGTTTGTTGTTCTAGTAACCTTAAAGAGTTTTTTTTAAAAAAAACAGGCAGTATCCACTTCATGTACTAGTTTGATTTTTACTTGCTGTGTCTGCAGGGTGTAATTACCTTGGAGTCTCTAGGAAAAAGGGGATATCGAGTACCTCCTTCAGGAACAATTCAAGTGGTAAGTAGAGAACAGCTACGAACAGTAATAAAACACAGTTACAACACAGCAGTGCTTTAAACTAGAGCGATATACGCTCTCTAGTGGCGTCACTTAGAAAATGCTAGGGATTTTGTTTTCGATTGCCCTACCTATTTTCCTAGGCTAAACCTTTTTGTCTAAAGTAACTATAAGTAAAAACTGTTTTATAAACAGAATTGTAAAAAATAACATTATGTAAAAACTATACTGGCCCAGGATTTGATTTAATCTAATCAAACTAAGTACATTTTCTAGCAAAATTCCTTTAAGCATTTTAAAAGGATATTAACTGCAATTTGTTTTATGTCTAAATGAAGGGTAGTCGTTTTTATTACTTTAAGTATTGCAAATGCATAGTCTTGCCACCAAAATGTCTATAACATGCAGCTCATGTCTGGCGTAACACTATTGGCCTGTGCCTTTCAGACCTTATTCAATCCCAACAAGACTGTGGTGAAAATGTTTGTGGTGATCTTTGACTTGAGAAAGATGCCAGCCAATCACCAGACATTCCTGCGACAAAGGACATTTTCTATTCCCGTGAAAAGGGAAATGAACAGACACGTCACCAAAAAGCTCCCCCTGCTGACTGAGGAGCGAACGCTTCGCTACCTCATACACCTGAGGTAAGTGAAAACAGTCTCTTTCTGTGATCAAAAGAGACCAAGCGTCTCTTACGTCAAGCACATAGGAGTTGAGGTTTAATTTAGCAAACTGATTTTTTTTGCACATTTGCCTTTCCGATTATGATTTCACTTAGCATAGTTTGCTTAATTACAATGGTATGTAGGAGGAGATGGTTTTCCCTAGTGGATGTGATTAAATCTATTTTCTGTTTCCATTTGTTTTTTCTGAGGATGGCCATAGCAATCAAGGTTAATTAGTAGAGAAAAAAAAAACAGTTATGATAACTGGAAGTCAGAAAAATACTAATATCTAGTGGATTGAGAAGCCAACGTTGCTATGAACAATTTTAGTAAGGGTTTAGTTCAGACTTGTTAAAGCAATGATGTGAATGTCTCTGAATTAAACTTCATTTCCTTTTATCCATTGAAAGCAGAGTTACTTCTTCAGACTCTATTGGAAATGATGGTTCACTTTTTTCACTATCCATTTCAGGTTCCAGAGCTCAAAATCTGGAAAGATCTACCTCCATAGAGATATACGGCTCCTTTTCTCTCGGAAATCCATGGAAGTTGACAGTGGTGCTGCATACGAGCTGAAGTCATACACGGAGGCACCTTCAAATCCTCCTTTCTCCCCAAGATGCTAGTCAATATATTCTATAGAGGAGGCTTGTTAAATTCATTACTTTTTTGTCATTCTTTGATGTTGTTCTAGAAGAGCTCTAGTCCTTCCATTTGACCACGGACCACATGGCATCAAAAGGGCACTGTGTATTTCCACATTAACTGGAAATTAAAATAGTAATATTCTAATACCTTTTGTACTGTTACAGAACCACTTTATTGGAAGTGTTGCAATAGGAAGAGAATCTTAACTAGTTTAGTGTTTACATGTTTATTTTGTCAGTTATTTAATATTTAAATTAATATTTCATTTACTGCACACATGTTGTCAGTCATTCTAAGCATTATAATGTAGTGTAAACCTATATGTAAATCATTCAATGTATTTTTGACAATATTCAGCTCTAAAATATATATAAAACAATCTTTAAACTTGCCTCTGTTGATTTATAATTTCACTTTACTAGTTTGGAAATGAAGACATCTAAATAAAGCTACTGGTTCGTGCTAATCTGACAGATTTTTCCTGGCACATCATATATGTTAATATTATGTAATTGGTTGGGCATTTTTATATATATATATAAATGCTTCAATTACCTCTGTTTCTATATTAACATTTAGTAATGATGTCTTTGTGAGAGGTAAACTTTTTAATCATTTCAATGTGCCTTGTAGTTGAGGATTTTAACAGTTTTCTATTATCTTTAATAAAGTGGGGGAAAAAAGCTGTCTGCTGTGTGTTGGACTCTGAAGTAGAGCTCTTAAGTCCCTAATTATTTCTCCACATCATGATGCAAGTCCTGTCAGAGCTTTGGTGCTCCATTCTTAAACTGATGGCTTCCTGTTTTAAAGAAAATCATTATTTTGTTAAAGATGATCTTGGGTTTAGTCTCCTTTGGATATATAAACGTATCAGTTACATGTAAAACATTGTCCCGCAGAGTCAGAATGTGAATTAATTACGTAATGAAATGAATTAGGACCATTTATATAGGAGCTTGTGTGTCCAATGCAAACCAAACAAAGCTATAAATGAGACTAAGAAACCAAGTTACATTGCTTCACTAAAGCCAATTCACTAAAAGGTGGTGGATTATTGAGAGTTGTTCACTACTCAAATGTAACACTTCACAAACGCTTTAGAGTTCATTGATGTGGATCATTAGTCGATATAACTGTGGATTTTAGATATACTTATTTTAAGCTTTTTAATACTTTTACATTTATTTATTTACCGTATGCAAGAAAAAAAATTGCACCTTGGAAAAACTAATGCCTACAGCACCTGTGCCAAACCTAATGCCAATCTCATATACTTGACAACTTCAATGTCAGGGGGTTTTATTTACCAATCATAACACTTTAGCTAAAACAGCTACATTTGTAAAAATGAAAAAGTGAAGTATAATGTGTAGAACAAGGTTACTCAACCTGTGGCCACTCCAATTCTCTTAATTCCAGCATTGTGATATATCCAGCTCCTGATTGACTAGATTGATTAGCGAGCAGGTTGCAGCAAAACCTTGGAATGATGCAAATTGGAAGGGCTGGAGGTTGGATAGCCCTGGTTTTCCAATTCCTAGAGCCCGGGTTATAGATCTTTCTCTAAGTTGTCAACGGCGAAGGAGATGCATTGGCCCAGTTAAGCCTTAGTCATAGTTGTTTGTAACGTAAGGGGACACAGAAAACCTGTGTGGTTCAGGGTCCTGAGGGCCATATTTGAGGAATCCCATGTGTAGAAACTGCAGTGTACCAAGGTAAGATCCCATCATCGTTTCTTCACACACAATGTTCAGTATAAAGCAGCAAGTTAAATGTGAATAAGCTGCAAAAATCATAAGGGATTTGTTCTGTGCTCGCTGTAGAGCTTTGGTTCCATACATTATATAGCACTCAAGGTTCAACAAATTCTTTGATATACTGTGACTGTTGCATCTTTAGGTGACTGAGAAGTGTCTGTTAGAAGGGTAAACACTTCAAACTTCAAAGGAGAGAGGGTGTTTGCTGAGGTCTGGGGGGGTCCCTTGAGCAGAAGCAATTGTAAAGTCTATCTTGGTATACCTAGTTGTGGGTTAATGATTGCAAAGGAGCAGAAACAGACAATATAAGATCACAGTAGGAGGAAAAAGAGAAGAGAGAGGAATCCAGAGCAGTAGGACGCGAAGCTTGTGCGACTTCATGATCATCCAAATCAAGCCTGATTAGAGCGACGTATTTGAGCCTTGTTAGAGAGAGAGTAGGGAAATTGGGTTTCCTGAGTAAAAGATACCTCAGAAATGTCTTTCCTGCTTAGGGTGTATTTTATGGATAGGGATATAGGTTCCCATTTATTTTGTGGCACCCGGGGTGCAGAGAGAGAGATTTAACTGCAGGTTGCATTGGATTTAGTTAGAAGACGGCTCATCTCTTGTGTGGCCTCCGTAGGCATATTAAGAGGTTAGTGAGGAACAAGTAATAGGTTTATTCCATGCTGAAAAAGAAGAAAAAGAACACAACGTTTCGGCCGTGGAGCCTTCTTCAGGTGTGAGAGAGACTGCCCTGTCTCTCTCGCACCTGAAGAAGGCTCCATGGCCGAAACGTTGTGTTCTCTTTCTTCTTTTTCAGCATGGAATAAACCAATTACTTGTTCCTTTGCAGCCTACGCATGCTGACCCAGCTACCCACCTTAAGAGGTTAATGTTTAGTAGAAGTCTGGGGCTTTCTGGGTGACCAGAATGTTAGGCCTCAGAAACGCCTTGTCTGTAAATACTGTACATAAAGTAACCTCGTGTGTTGTACGTTGTGTAGTGTAGTCTGTGTTTTGTCATTGTAATAAATATTTGTTTAACCAAGTGTATCTGGATTATTACTCCTCTCAACATGCCAGAGGATAAAGAACTCACGGGCCTCTAATTTTACCGGCCTCTCGGGTATATTGCTAGAAATCGCGTATAAGTTGGGGGTTATGAATAATTATTTCACTTATTGACTAAACTGCTCAGTCAAATCCTGATTTTCACCCGTTTCATAACCCTCCATTTGTAACAACTGTTTCCAGCAATATAATACAGAAAACAGAAGTTTACTATTTCTTTTCAACATGATTGCATGAATTGATGGCACGAGTCATCATAAGTATCCATTACCACACTGGGTCCAGTCGTCTACTCACTTTAATTCTACAATGTTGTATGGAATAGAATAAAACAGCTACCATAAGGAGAAATTTGTTCATCTCACAATTCTATCTGGAATGAAAGCAAGATTTTAAAAGTAAAGTACCATTTAACTGGTATCACCAATTTAACACCATCGATGTCAAATGTTCTGTAGTCTTTAATTTTCCTATTATTTTCCTATTCCTGTTTTCTATTTTGTGTTCTGTTGCAAATTAAATTTACAGAAAAAATCATCTAAAATCCAGCATCATGCAGAGTAACTGCCATAGCTCAGGATAGGCTACAGTGGAATGTGGACATATTTCTCTGTGTATTTGAAGGTGCACATATCTTTTTCATAATGAACAAGTGATAGGTTTATTCCATGCTGAAAAAAAGACACCTGAAGAAGGCTCCACGGCTGAAACGTTGTGTTCTCTTTCTTCTTTCTTCTTTTTTTCAGCATGGAATAAACCTATTACTTGTTCCTTTACAGCCTACGCATGCTGACACAGCTACCCACCTGAACTACTCTTTTTCATAATGTTGATTTGAAAAGTCTGTATGTTAGTTTTTGAAAAAAATAGTAAAGCGAAAATAACATTTATCTTCCCCGTTTACACTGCTTAATTTAGTTATTAGATCATACTTGGAGTACTGTAACACTTTGGGGTTCACATGGGTGCCCTCACCACCGCCACATCAGGTCGGCCCCCCACCATCGGGGACTCAAACCCAGGCTACCGGTGTCACTCAACAGGGACTCAGCCTGTTGAGCCAAAGGGAAATCTCCCGTCAGCCTGATGGCTGCGGTCCCAGCTATTCACAGGGAAGGGCGGTGACGTCACCGCTCTGGTAAGCCAGCTCTCGCAAGCAATGGAGGCCGTATGCGCTACAGTACTATACTCATAGATAAGATAACCCCCCCTTTTTTTTTGCCTATAGTCAAAAATCAACCTTTGGCTACTTAAACGAGTGTTTTGTTTAATTGAATAATTTCTAGGTCATGTTGAATGAAATACCAACACTTGTAACCCTTGAGGATGACATTTGGAGAATACTGACCGTATTGAACCCATTAACGGTTAAAAGTGATCAAAACTCACATATATTCCAAGTTTTTACTAATTGATGATTTAAGGGTGACCTATAAGACCGTCTGGATCGTGTCTCATTTGGCCCCTAGGACCGGCCTTGCTGGACTTACACTTTTGTATGATTTTGTAAGTCTATGCTACTATTTATTCTGTTTTAAGAGCACCTTTGTTTCGCATATGTGAGTGGTTGACAGACACGCTTTCTGTCTCCATGGTGGAAGATTTATTTAGGTCTTATCTGTTGCTTGTGCGTATTAAATATTAATGGATTTAAACTTCAAATGACCATTTTTGTCGTTGCTTTGTAATGTAGATACAGTACATACGGATGTCATGACTACGTATTTACCTCGCACACGCACAACTTGACTTTGATTCCATCTACACTGGCTGCAGAAACATTATAAATGTATTATGTCCTGCTAAAACTATTTTAAATTACTGACCGGTTATTTATATTCAAGCCACCTATACATTAAAATAATGATGGCGTCAACACTGTATTTCATTAATAGCTTTTCTCTACAACCATCAATTTACAAAGACAAGTTTTCGCAGGGTAGTCGGGCCGTCAAAGGACCCAAACTACATATCCCAGAATACAATGCGCCACAATGCCCGGACGCTTAAAATTGCATTTAAAAAAAAAGGAACTTTTTTATTTCTGTTAGAAATAATGTAATTGAGAGAAATTTAAAATGAGCACATTAATGGGTTAGTTATCAATTGGAGAAAAAAAATCCTACGGGCTGACTTTTAAAACCGGCAGCCATGTTTTTGCGGGAGGACGCATTTGATTCAGCGGAACGGGAGAGGGAAGGGAGCTGTCTTTATTTCGCCTGGTTTTTATTTTCCCTCTCGTTTGTTTAGTCATGTCTGGGGAAACAGAAGAAACAAAGACCATCGAAGAAGCTACAACCGAGGAGCAGAGGGTAAGTAAAGGCGTTGTGCACTGTTTGGTAAGTCCTTTGGCGTCAGGGTAGTGCCAAATTGACCAAAATGTGCATCCAGAGTCTGTCAGGTGGAATCAGGCAGTAGGCAAACAGACGTCGTCTTCACGCTTGTTAGCGGTGAGTACAGCGAGGAGTCAGTCAGGTAGGGCTGGGTGATAATGTTGGGGTGCAGGCAAATAAATATTTTATGTACCTTGCTAAATATGCTAATATAAGCCACGTTGCAGTAGGAAAAAAAACGTAATTGAAGACGTTTAGGAGCGCGTGTGGTCGTGGCTTTGGTGAGTTAAAAAGGCTTGGCGTCTATTTTCAGTATTCTGGGGGGCGATGTTTATAATCAAGATGAAGGGTTAGCAGTCTAGCAAGGTTTATCCGGCTGGAGTGTGGAGGTCCCGGGTTTCTTTGCCTTAATGCCAATTGGCTGATAAGACCGTACTTGGTTCACAGCGCTTTTCTAGCGTGATATGGGTCAGAGCACAAGGTGTCCTTGTTTTTACTGCATATTATGATGTCTGGTCGGTTAAGCGCAGTGCTGAAGAATAAAGGGGCTCGGCGTGTTTAAGAAATTTCGTTTTTGTCGCGTTCGTCGTGGAAGATACTGGGTTCGGTGTGCTGTGACCCGATTCTTGCAACCTCTAGTCTGAATGATCGTTGATTTCTGGTCTGTGTCCGCGGTACCAATTCTCTTTTTTTTTTTCTCTCGTGGTAGTTTCACGTTGTCCAGAGGCTTTCTATATGCTAATACCTGAGATCCCAAGCTGAAGTTTAACATTACGTAATAACAGCGCAAATGCTGTGACGTGGGCCTCTGCTGCACATTGAAACCATGTTCTTTCCTGTGAATTATGAATGTAGAGGCCCTTGCAATCCCCTACAGAATGTCGTTTTGAAGTGAACGTGATCATGAAAGAAGTGTCTTGGATTTGCTTGTGTTTTCAGTGAAGTGATGTTCTAAATTAAGCTGAGTTACAGCTATTTATAGAAATAAAGATCAAAATCTAGTGAGTGTACAGCCGAATCTTTCAAGGTTTAAGATGAACTTTGAACTAGATCTAAATGGTTAGCCATGTTGAATTCTGCTGCAGCCGGTGTTAACCTGAGTCGTCTTTGAGCTAGCATTTTTATTATTTGCAAATGACCAGGTTAAACTGATCTTCCATTTGAACATATTGAGGTTTTCTGTAACATCCTAGCTTTTGATCATTTAAAGCTGTTAAAGGGTGGGAGGGTGCCATGCTTAATATGCTGCAGTATGGAGTGGTCTGGGCCATGAGTGAGCACTTCTGGTTCTACAGGGCTGGTGGGTGTCCAGGTTTCAGGTTCTTTCAAAGCATCAGTGCCTAAACAGCAGAGGAAGGCTCTTCAGTTGGTCCTGTTTATGTGATGATGAGCTGAGTTAGAAAGATCACCTATAGACTCACCAGCCCTTCAGGACCACGATCACCTACACTGGTCAAAGCTTAATACACATTTTCTGGCCAACTCAAGAAATTCTTCGATGGTGTTGTGAGGTCTGTTTCATGTTGGAATAACCCTCCGCAGAATCTTGCGTCTCGTGGGAACTCCCACAGACTCACCTAAGGCTTTTTGGAGAGTCTAGGCAGCAAGATCTTAGTGATCATTTCTAGTGATTGGTGCTTGGCACACTGGATTGAAGGCAGTGGATCTAAGATTTTAAGAAGCAAGAACAGTAAGGTGTTAAGGTTGTTGCCTCCTGTTGCACTGAGAAAAAGAGCCAGATTGGCCAAGCCTCCCAGTTCTGTTCCTGGTGGCTTGCACCACTCACCTGCTAGCTGGCTTGACTGGAACACTTGCAAGTTTTTACCCCCTGTTCAAAAGATTGGAATAACCCTCTCCTGTGTCCATTTTTTTTATGTCCAAGAAAAGCCTGTGTTGGACGTGACCCAGTTCCATCAACTTCAGTGGTCATAAAACATATGCGTTTGCAGATATTGATCGCAGCTGCCTTCCGGCTTTTGACTGCAGTATGGCTCTTGGATTACAGCTGCTGTTGGTGCTCATTGTATCCAGCATTCCTTCAGAATACAGAGAACTAGTTTGTCAATGGATTGTTGTTTTTCAGGCAGAATGTGAAAGTCGCAATCTGGAGTAAGAGGCTAATATTTTTTGTTAAATGTGAGTAGTGATAATGTTCTGTTTTTGGGACTGAAAACTCCCTTAATATCAAATCAGTCCACTTTTTTATGATACTTTACACATCTGATTCTTTTATTTGCCGTTTAGGAATTTGCTTGTGCTGGAAGTAGCCTAGCATAGTGCCAAGAATGTTTCTAGCTTTCAGTGGAGATGGGCAAATCAGCAAACTGATTAATTAACTTTTAGGAAAACTGAACTGGTTTCCCTTAGATACGTGCTCATGAACGAGAATCTGCAATAATGGAAAACTCGGCAAACAAAATGGGGGAGATGTGAAAGCAGAACCCAGATACTTTTGTTATGGTCAATGGAGAAATCGGGCCTCAGTGTATAGCAGGAAAGAAATTAGAAACTAATTTCTAGAAGGCTTTTTTTCTATGCATGTTCTGCAACCAAACTTTCCCTGAATTTGAAATATGCCCACCTTTGGTTAACCACTGGCATAGTGGCATATGATCGAGATGGTAATTCTGTGTTTTCTTGGCATCCATGTTTTTAAATGAATGTAGTGATTGATCAGCTTGGGCCCTTGTATGCGAAGAGTTGCTCTTCTTGACATCTGGGGTTGATTATGCTGCTTTCCTTAAATAAACCCCTTTGATTATTGTGTTGCCATGCTCACAGAGCCTTATTCATTTTCCTGTCCCTCATCCCCCACACTTTTTTTTTTGAAAGTACAAAAGTATTAGTTTTTGTTTTATTATTCAACCCACACAGGAAAGTTGTGTGTAACAAATCTGTACACATTTTCTTATGAGTAGTTAAATTGACCCATTCCCTTTATAGAATTTTTATAAGCCTCTTGGTGTACAGATTTTAGTGAGGAATTTCTTTGGTGAACATGGCCCAGAAAGTGCATGCAGTAAATGTTGTGGGGGGGGGTATAAAAATGATGTGCAACAGTATTGGCTGTTCACTTAAACATACGGATGTCCCTACATCTTGATCAAAGGGTGGATGAAAGTGCTGTATGTTGATTGATTTGGTTTTCAGCTCAATTAAAAGATCCTTCTCTAATGAAGGGTAAGGCTCTCTTCTCCTTGTTCCAGCATGGCTGCAGTCATGTCTGACATGATTTGACTGGTGTAACTAAAGGCTGGTCTGCTAGAACAGAAGTCACAGGATCGGTGCTTTGAAGTTCATCTCTGACCTTTTATTCAGCTGGTGCTTGGAAGTGGGAGTCTTTGCCAAGCTGGTTTTTGTTGAAGAGCAGACCTCCTGTTCCAGAAAGCATTGTGTAATGGAGAAATGCTGCAGTCCTTCCCAGGGTGTTAAACCTGTATAGTCACTGTATATTCACATACCGTTAGTCATCAATCAAAATATAAAATAACTGTTATAATGCCTATTATAAATCTTCTTAAAAACTATATAAACTTAATTTACATGACAGTAAAGTAATGGGAATAAAATATCTGCTGTAATTTAAACTGAAGCCCCTCATTTCTTAGATCTAAAGTCATCTTCGACAATTCTAGTAAATTTAAATTACCAGTTGTGAATGTGTTGATGTTGAGTCATTATTACTAGTGACATTACGTCTTCAGAGTGTTGATTTTGATCAAGAGGCCTTTGTCTCATGGTGGGCAGGCTGTTATATATTTTATTTATTATAAAAAGTTATTAACCAGACATGGCTGCCTTTTGGAGGTAAATATCTTTGCTTAAAACCCAAATATACTGTTGATATGCAGGAAATGGAGGACAAGGTGATCAGCCCTGAGAAGGCAGAAGAGGCCAAGCTGAAAGAGAGGTACCCCCACCTGGGGTCTAAGCCCGGAGGCTCGGACTTCCTCCGGAAAAGGCTTCAGAAGGGGGTGAGCTGCAATGACTTTGTTGTTTTTTTTTATCTTCATTCAGCTTGACTCTCCACAGTGGTGTTGATGTTGTACTGCATGCCTTTATCTTCCTTTTTTTAATCTTGAACTCTTGTTCTCCCTCACCCAATTCCTTGAACCTGTGGTTTGCTTTTTGTTGTGGTTAACTTTCTATTAGCTTAATTCTTCATTGTAAACGTTCAGTAGACTCGAACCATGTCATACTGGTTTACATATTTCAACTGAATGCGAGATATTCCTTAATTGTTGCTATTGTTTCCCAAATCTATTTGGGGGTTCGGAAATGTACTTTAGTTCTCTGACTGATAAATTGTTCTGGATACAGTATCTGAAAGTTACAAATCCTTCTCTGCAACACTGGTGTCTTGAATTGACCTAGTTCTCAGTTAAATGGAAAACAGTTTTGACTTCATCCCCCCAAAAAAAAAAACTTCTCTAATTTTGTATTCCTGTCTCTACTTGTGACTGCATCGGAAACTGAATTTATAGGTCATTCCCTCCTTTTCTTGATAGCAAAAGTACTTTGATTCTGGGGACTACAACATGGCCAAGGCCAAGATGAAGAACAAACAGCTACCGACTGCCACGGCGGAGAAAGCCGAGATCACCGGTGACCACATTCCCAAGCCGCAAGACCTGCCCCAGCGGAAGCCTTCCCTGGTTGCCAGCAAGCTGGCTGGTTGATAAAGGCTTTACAAACTGCTGCCTTTTTTTCCTCATTCCCATTTTTCTCATCTTCGTGTTAGCCTTTTTTCCTGTTTCTTTCTTTTTTTTTATTTTAACCTACATTTAAAAGCACTCGGAGAAGAGTATAAGAGGCAGATTCCAGTAGAATGCTGCTTTGTGGATAAATTTAAGCTCTCTAGTATCTGGAATAGTTTCTGAAGGAGAATTAAGCTTGTGGAGCGTCGCAGGTGGTTTAAATGTACTGTACTTTTTGGATGAAACTGTACATATTTCCTAGTGTTGGAGTGATGGCAGGAATCGACATTTTAGAAAGTTTTACATTTTTACTGTATCATTCCTTGACCTCATCTAAATAATGAAGTAATGTGCTTGAATTATTTAATCTTACAATCATGCACATGCCTTTCCCCCCTTGATACTGCTTTGCTCCTTGTTTTATATATTTAAAAATAAAGAATGGACCACACAGATGTATTGCTACAAGTAATGTTATAGGAAAAAGAGCATGTGTGATAAACTAGGTTCTAATGGGTTAATGTTTGCTTGCCTCAAAATCTTAAAATACAGAATTGCCTTAAATCTTTCAGCTTTATCAATTGCGGTTTTTCTCGGGAAATATTTTCCCACCCTGGAAAACAGTCCTTGTGAACCTAGTACTGAATGTGTGCTGAAAACTATTTAAACCCATTCTCATCTAGGTTTTGTAGATGGTAACTCACTAAAAGAAATGTTTGAAGTGTGCATGTGCATAGACTGTGCAGTCAATTCTGTGCCATGTTTTTTTTGTAAATAAAATAGTTTTGCACAAATGTTAGTTTATTTAATGATCCCTTTATACTGCAGATCTTATAACACTTGTGATGGTCCTTTCTGATGAAGTGTTTTGATAAAACTACAGTGCTTTGCAGAATTATTCATATCCCTGCACAGTTTAAGCATTTTGTTGCTTTAAATGCTTACTGGCATGACACCTTAAAGTAGCAATTCATGTTAAACACGCACTGCTAACTCCACAGTCAATTAGAAAGTCAAAGATGCATACATATTGCCTAGATCATACTGTCCCTTCAAACTATGCATCTGGACAAGGAGGAATCTGGTTAGGCACGCCACCATAAGGCCAACAGTGACTTTTACAAATATACAACCTTCTTGACTGAGATGGGAGAAAATGTCTATGGGTCGATAATGTCCCTGTCTCATCTGAAAGGAAAAAGTCTAATTCAAATCCTGCATCAGGTTTTCAATAAAGCACTTAAATGTTTCTGAAATGATTGGGCACAAAGATGGGGTCAGACCAGACAAAATTGGAGCTCTTCAGTCTAGATGCAAGGTGTTACCTGTACATCTGATGTAAATCCACCATGTTATCACTTTGTCAACAATATCCCCACTCTTACACCTAAGTGGGGCAGAGTTACAGTATGTTAAAATACTTGCTTTTCATCACTTGTGTTGACAGTTGCTTGTCAAAACTGATTGGAACATAGGTGGAGCTAATTACAGTACTGGCAAATTTTAGAAGAAATTATTCTTCAGACTTAAAAGGAGAAAAAAGTGCACCTTTCAGTAGGATAGGCATCCATACTGGAGTGGCTTTAGAATAAGAAAGTGTCTTTGAATGGCTGAGTTCCGAATCTTATGGAGAGTTACTAGAAAAACTCAAACTTGTTCACAAGCAACACGAGAGTTCAAGCAAATCTGCCTTGAGGATGAGCACAAATTGCATAATTTAGTGTGCAAACTCAAAGACATACAGTGCTGTGCAAGTATTTGCCCCCTTATGGATTTCCTCTATTATTGCAACTTTTTTACACTGAATATTTTCAGGTCTCCAACCAAAATCCAATATTCAATAAAGGGAACCTGAGTGAACAAATGTTTTTTACTTATTTCATTTATTTAATTAACTAAGTTGTCGAACAGCAACTGGCACTGTGTGGAAAAAGTCCTAGTTAAATCAACCCAATTAAAGGGATAATTTAGTCAGCTGATTGAATGCAGCCAGGCTTGATTACAGCCAGCCCTGCTCGGTATAAGTCTCACCTATTTTGACCCTTACCATCGGAGTCAGGTTGTCAGCACAAAGATTCAACAAGCACATTATGCCACGATCGAAGGAAATTCTTGAAGAGAATGTTCTATGGACAGATGAGTCAAAAGTGGAACTTTTTGAACGACATGTCTGGTGTAAAGCAAATGGCATTCCACAGTAAGAACATCGTACCAACAGTCAAACGTGGTGGTAGTGTGATGGGCTGGGGCAGCATGCTTTGCTGCCTCAGGACCTGGACAACTTGCCATAATTGAAGGAACAATGAATTCTGCTCTGTATAAGAAAATTCTTAAGGTGAATGTCTGGCCATCTGTCTGTGAGCTGAAGCTGAAGCGTAGTTGGGTCATGCAGCAAGAACATAATCCAAAACTCAAAAGCAAGTCCACATCAAATGGCTGAAAAGAAGCCAAATGAAAGCTTTGGAGTGGCCTAGTCAAAGTCCAGACCTAAACCCAATAGAGATGCTGTGGCAGGACCTGAAATGCGCAGTCCATGCTCAAAGACCTACCACTGTTTCTGAATTAAAGCAGTTGTGTGAGGAAGAGTTGGCTTAAATTCCTCCACAGCGATGTGAAAGAATTATAGGAAGCGTTTGGTTGCAGTCATTGCAGCTAAAGGCGGCAGAACCAGTTATTAAGTGTAAGGGAGCAATTGCTTTTTCACACAGGGGATATGGGTGTTGGATAACTTTGTTTTAAATTAAATAATAATAAAAATGTGTTATTTGTTCACTCAGGTTCCCTTTATCTAATATTAGATTTTGTCTAAAGATCTGAAAACATCCAGAGTGACAAATATGCAATAATAGAGGAAATCAGTGTTTCACGGCACTGTACCCCAGAACACTTGTGGCTGCGATTAAAAAGGCATACAAAATGTAGGATATATTGTGAAAAGAGCCTAATTTAAATCAAGGTTTGTTTTCTTAAAATTGTATAATTTATTAGTCAGGCCTAATTTAGAATATTGTGTACAATTCTAGTCTTTACAGAATAGGCATTGCTGCTCTGGCATCAATCCAGATAATAACAACAATAATAATAATAATTAATAATTGCTTACACTTTTCTGGACACTCCACTCAAAGCGCTTTACAGGTAATGGGGATCCCCTCCACCACCACCAATGTGCAGCATCCACCTGGATGATGCGACGGCAGCTATAGTGCACCAGAACGCTCACCACACACCAGCTATCAGTGGGGAGGAGAGCAGAGTGATGAAGCCAATTCATAGATGGGGATTATTAGGAGGCCATGATGGGTAAGGGCCAATGGGAAATTTGTCCAGGACGCCGGGGTTACACCCCTACTCTTTTCGAGAAACACCCTGGGATTTTTAATGACCACAGAGAGTCAGGACCTCGGTTTTACATCTCACACGAAGGACGGCGCCTGTTTACAGTCTAGTGTCGATGTATAATACAGTATAGTTTTTGGAGCTTGAAACAAGCTACCTAGACATTGTTGATGCTGATACCCTGGCTTCTTTCAAGAAAAGTCTGGATTGATCCTTGGGTCAAGTAACTAATAACTAACAAACGGTCTAGATTGGGATGAATACCCTCCTCTCGTTGGTAAGATTTCTTATGTTCTTGACTTCTCTTCATTTGTGTGTTTATGCCCTGATCATTGCTGCTTAAACTCCACAGCCATGAAATATAATTTGTGATGTTCAACGGATGACAATTGATACAAAAACAAGCATTAATTTTAAAAACCAGTCTAGAGAAGAAATAGGGGAAAATATTCCACAGACTCAAAACTCTGTAATTAAGTGAACAAGTCACAAGACCATAGCAAGGATGTTCATGTTATTTAAGCCACCAGGAATTTCTTGGCACCCGGGACTTGGCCTTTTGGATCACTAGAGTGGATTACCATGAGATTCAATTAAATTATTTTTAGCCCCATGTTCTCAGGACACAATTAACATGTAAGGTTGAATACAAAGCGCATTGCTGTTAGGTTCATGTGTTTTTTTGTCATGCTTTGCTGCTATTTCTGTACATACATTTCTGATTCTGAGACTGAACTGAGATGTTAGTAAAAGGAATATTTAGGCACTAGTAAGATTTATTGTAATGCATTGGGGGTAAACAATGGAAATAAAAAAGTCTCAAATAACAATAACATGTATTATAGTGCCAGCTGTGAACTCAAGGCCAAGCATTTTCTTATGCTCACAAAGCAACGCTCTGGTCTGGGGTAAAACCATTTCTAGAGATTTCCGTTGTCTTTAAATGCAGTTTTTTGTTTTGTTAAAAGAGAATGCCCTTGCACTATATATAAATATAGCACTATATACACACTTGCACTACTATATAAATGTGTTAAGTAGACCAATACTAGAAGAAACTGCATTGATTTTCTATATTAAAGCTTATGAAATTTGTATTGAAACCCTTAGCAAGTAACATTTTAAAGGCATATTTTCCCTAGTGCTGTTAGCTTTGAAAGAATACATTTTTAATGTTGGAGTGGTCGTCATGTATGTTTTCAACAAGGAATGAAAAATGACATTTCTCAACAACAGAGGATTAGCATAATAAGCTGAAGATATGAAGAACGTGATCTATTTCACCTTTAAGAGATGTGGGATCTTTTCTTACTACCATTATGTAGGGTTTGATTGTCATTAGCACGATTTCTAGGTAATATATGTTATCATGCCGATTGTGAAATGCACAGTAAGGGCTTCGAAAATCAATTTCTTATAAGAAAAAAAAACTATAAGCCTGGCACCCTCACAAGGCCAGTTGAACTGAAAATGGAGGAATGGATGACGAGCAGCAGGAATATGCGTTGCAACTCGTACTTGCAGTAGCCCGACGACAATCAGAAGCCGACACGACCAGACTCCCTCTGATGGCTGATAACGCAAACCGGTCTGTCTTGAGAGGATAGAGTCCCAAGACGTGGGGATGTGTTTACCGCTTGGGAGGCGAGAGTCTTTTTGGCAGTTAAGCTATTTTTGTATTTTCCTTCCTTAGAAAGTAGAAACTAAACGGTCAATTATATAAACGCATGATGTATTTGCATCGATACCCCAGTCATTAGTAATGCTGGAGAAACAATTGAAATATACCCGTTTTCGATTAACTGCATGGGTCCTCTTTATTCTGACTATAACATTTTTTCCTGACGTCAATTTGATGGATTTTAGCGTTTACTGAAGAAAGAGGTGCAATAGATAACTTAAAGAGATCGCTATATTGTTGGTCAAGAGGCATCAAGAAACTCATTGAACGATATTTTGATTTTTAATTTGACTAAAATAATGTAATTGTTTTGCAGTTATCAGCTGGGTACGGATCAGTTAAACTCTCCCCAATTCTCCCCAATAACAGAAGATACACTCCTTTCGGTTATTGTTTTATTAAATTAATCTGTCAAGCATCTAACAATGAAAACATAACTTTAAAACGTTTAGTTAAATTAATTGCATAGTCTCAAGTTGCTGTACTCACATCCTTATCGTGTCTTGGACAGAATTAAAGTTTCTTTTTAATTAAGATTGACTAAGGCTATTACTCTTAAGAAGTCTAGACAGTACAATGGTTGTCAACGGAAAGGACATTATTATTCATATGGGATATTAAACTATAGTTCTGCTAACTAAACTTTTTATCAAGAAAATTAGCTTCATATTGGAAGACACAGATTTAATAGTAGTTCCCTGCTGCTGATATATCCCTATTACAACGTTAAAAAACCATGGTCTAGTTCTCACGTTCTCATTTACATTTCTACCCTAGTTTTTCGTGACATACTCAGATGCCTTTCAAATTTATACCACTCAGTATGTGCATTGTTTGGAAAATGAATGTTGATTACAGCTTCTTTCGAAACCTGATTTACGCCACCGACGGACGCTCTATTTATTTCAACATTTGACAGAACTGTGTTAAAAATGAAGCACCGCCGCTGGGAGGCAGCCGTCGCTCGGATTACATCAGATTCATGGTTAGCAACGGGTTTTCGCTGAATGATTTCATTCATCATACCCAGAATGCACAGAGAGACACTAAAATAGCAAGATTTTCAGGTATCATGGCGTTTGCTACCTCTGCTTGAGCCGTCTCCCCTTTTGCTGGAAAGGATTTACAAAGAACAAGAGAGCAACGCCAGTGAAGCGAGTCCGACAAATTAAGCGCACCACTGATGTTCTGCTGACCAGGATTAGACCAACGCTGGATAGACCGTCATGGCAGCGTCCGAGCTGTACACAAAGGTAATGCTGGATTTTGTATTCCGCTTGACGGTGCGGCGTTCAGATTGCAGCTGCAGCTTTTGCATGTTACTGTTTCCCAGCAGCCGTCCCGTGTTTTGGGATGCGCGTCTGAGTTAAGATTGTATTTCCCGTTCTGTGATGTTGTCCCCCCCCCCACAGAAAAAGAGCAAACCAGCTGCCGGTGGAGCAGACGATTGAACAATGGCCAGGCAGGCAGGAATGAATGAATGACATCTTTTGATTTTTGGTTCTCCGCAGTTTAATGTACCACTGAATTGCGTGTGTGCGATGTGGCGCTGAAACGAGACTTTTGGTGCTACAGTGCTGCTGCTGCAGGACACCGTTTTTTATTCCTTTAAAAAAAAAAATCAGTGTCTTACGAATGCTTGTCTGATTCACCCGAGGGCAGTTAAATTAACCGGTACTTGCACAGCTCTGTCCTTCAAATGTGCTCAGAGACGTTAAATTGTACCATATTCTCAGAATTATTTTTTCAAGTCAAGGGGAGAATGGATGTAATTATTGTTTTTTTTTTTCAGAGTATAGCTATTTTCCGATAAATTAGATTGAGCACATTTAATGCTTATGCGTAACTGTGGAGTGTCAGGGGGCGATGGTTGCAGAAAATACTGCTGATGGAAAATCAAGTGCTACTAACGAACCTCCTTTAGAATTTAACATTCTTTAAGGATATGGACGAGTAACAGTCCGGAATAAGGCTGTTTTTTCGAGGGCTGCATCTTCAGCCCGGTGTTTACTGTGTGTGCGAGTCGGACTGTGAAGTTGAACGAAGAACGCAGGATAGGTACGGCTGTGATGCTGAGCCAGGCCATTTCCATCAGTGACGATGCACTGTGGCGCAAGGTGCCCCAGCCACCTTGCCTTAACGCTGTGCAAACCGCTGCCTCTTTTTGTGCTGTGAAATCAGCACAAGGCAACCCGGTAATGGATGAGCTGTTGATTGGATTCACTGTACACCGTTGACAGATTCATCTCCATAGAATGCAGTTGATTGAAACTGGATTTATTAGACCCTAATTATTACTGTACATTCTCTGTGTAGAGGCGCGCTATTATGTTGTTACACGATATAAATACATGCTAATGTACAGTTCCGTTATTATTTTTGCTTGAAAAACACAGTCAGATCATAACCCATTAACTAATTAAGCACCTTGGAGAGCAGCTTTGTTAGTCCTGGTTCAGGCTGCTGGCCCAGAGGAGTAGTGGCAACATCACAGTCCATGGACTGGAGTCTAATGAACTGCATGCCCTCAGTCCTGCATTGCTGATCAAATTGGCCTTATCACTACTCTATGCAATATATTGAAGTGTAAGGTCAACAGAATTTATTTTCTTATCTAAAAAATAGATTACTTTTAATAGTGTGACTGGAACTATAGGAATCGCATGCTATGAATATGAGCATGGTTTATAGACTAGGTTTTATGAAAAAGTATTTTTTCTTCATCTGTGCATATTTTTATTGGGCCATATTCACAGCACATCCTGTAATCTAAGCAGTGGCAGGCAGGAGAAAAGCATAACTTTAAGTTTAGTAATTGCAGTATTCCAGGGCAGAATAAATAGTCCATTTGTCTTAAGCCAGCGTGTGAGAACTTCATTAGCTTTGTAAACGTCTCTATGGGTTTCACAGCTGACAGACACAGGAATGTTCAGGCATACTTTAGTCATCAGTGTTTGCCTGTGCTTGTACCAAGCTTGCATTCAGCTGTCCACATCTGCCTTTGTGTAACCTGTGTGTTACAAAAAAAGTTAATTGGTTTTTGCAAAGAAAATGCTCAGAATGTTCTTGTTCTTAGAACAAGTTATAGCAAGATTGAGGCAGATTCATGAAATCGAATTATTTTGTCCATCTCTTGAAGCAGAAACAGAAACGAAATGCGCCAAACAAAACACATTCTTGGCTGTTCACGCAAAATAAAAGCATGGTTGCATTAGGCATGGTGGTAGCGAAGATGGGACTGATACCGAGGTCCTTGCGATTTGTTTAATCTTGCTGTCTGCAGTCCCTTCCCTGAGGAAATGATGTAATAGCAATGCAGTGCTCTGTTTGGTCTAGAAGTGTAATGAGCCTCTTACCAAACCTTGAGTTCCTAACCACAAAGAGGCAGTGAGCACAGATGATGTAAGGCTCAGGCAGAGCCAGCAGCTCATGGACTTGGCCTACGCCTTCACTGGCACAGCAGCTCCTGATAGGGATGCATGGCTACAGATTTCTACAGTTTCTGCACCTTGGAAACTAGGGCGTACCAGTGCATGCAGATTGCACAAGATGGGCTCATTTCTCACTTCTTCTCACCTTCTCCCTCAAATAAGGAATGCACCTGGTTTAACGTAATGTATTTAAAAAATGAAAAATGCCAACAAAAAAGGTTAATGCAGAAATAAACACAAATGTATGACAAGGAAGTTGTGGTCTAGTCATTGAAACAGATGATTTTAGCCATACATACACATGCTTTAAATAGAGTAATTCTGCAGTATGCAATATTGTTCTCTCTTTATTCAGCATGTCTTTAACAGAGTGCTTTGCTGCTGTGTGACTTTGCTGGTTCTCCACTGAAATATTGCAACGTCAGTTCAGTACTATGCCTTTGAATGTATTTATGCACGGAATGTTCAGCAGAACTTTATTTGATTGTATGCCCAAGTCCTGTGTCCCCTAACATATTATTTTTCCGTAATTGGTCCAGCTTTCAAATTAATAGAAATGTGTGGGTTTCCAAGCTTAGGAAGAAAAGCAGTTTCTGTGCTCTGCATTAACTCCTTGCCTTGGAGGCAATTGGTGATCCACTATCTTGTAGACCATGAATTGTCATAAGACCAGCTGTGTTCATAATTGTCTTACTACGTAGCCCATTCGAAAACACTCTCCCCTTTGTGCTCTAAATGGGAAAATAAAATGCCATTGAAAGATAACTGAGTACACATCATAGCATTCAGAAATTCTCCACTCGTACTGGGCTGTGTCTGTGCTCTGGAGGGCTGTGGAAGTGTCCTTCAGCTCCTAGTCTCACTGGTGATAAGTCCAGCAGTGTGGAATATCAAGATTCTTGTAGCTACAGTAGAAGCCCGTAAACACTTGTAGCTGCAATGGAAAGCCTTCATCAAGTGTGACTTCAACCAATCCATTTTCTCTGTGCTGGCTGCATTTCATGTCTCAACAAAGTTATTAAGCTCGTCAGTAAATAGTGCTTTCAAAGAGCTTGAAGATGAACCAGGAGTTGGATTTTATGTACGTAAAAGTAAGTACCTCCATATCTTGCTTTGTTTGTTGTTCATACATGTGAAGGTAAGCAAAGGAGCTTTTGGTGTGCTTCAGATAGGCAACTGGACATGCCTTTATCATTTCCTGAATTATCTGATTGGGTCTCCAGAGAAATAATTTTGACTTATGATATTTTGGGTACAGAACCTTGGACGTATCACAAATGATCAGATGAGTTATTTTAGGAGGAATTGCTAGTGTTTGCTACTGTCAAACCAGCTGTGGGTTTGACTGTTTTCCCATTTTTAATCATTTGAATTTTCTCTGAGAGTGTACTTTGTATTTTTGATAGCGAGAAGGCAGTATCCTTAACATTGCAGTGTTGTCTTAGGATTAAACAAAATCTCACACTACAGAAGAGTGTTACACCCTACAACTCTGAAGACACCAGGACACATAGCATGCAATGAGTAAAAGTGATACCTGAAGTGAGAATTATTACAGAAAGCATAATGGTTCAAGAACCCTGAAACATGTTGTCTGAAAAGGACTGAAAACGCTAGATGTGCTTTACTGTGTCAGTCCTCTGTTATAATTGCTGTGTGTTAGCAATTGTCACTCCTTAGAATACATCCATAAAATAAGACCCATTTCTCATGCATGATTATTCTTTTGATAACATTAATAATGGGTGGTACGTGATGCAGCATTGACGCTTTGCAGGGCTGAGCTCTGGGTTCAGATCCTGGGGTGTTCTCTGCACGGAGTTTGTATATTCTTCTTTTGGTCGTGTGGGTTTCCTTCAGGTGCTCTGGCTTCCTTCCACAGTCCAAAGACATACTGTTAGGTCAATTAACATCAGGGAAAGCTGGCCCTGGTGTGTGTGTGTGTTTGTATCTGTGCCCTGAAATGGACGTGTGTCCTGTTCAGGGTGCTGCGTTGTTCCTGTTGCTTGCTATAGGATAGGCTGCATTTTTGGCTTACTGTGATCCTGTAATGGATAATTGGTTAAGAAAATGGTTGGATTTGTAATCATTTTAATTTCCTAACCATGTGTCTGTAATGCATGGGGCAGTCACAGTTACCTGCAGTAGATAAGCAAAGTTGCTGATACTTCTCCTTTTGCTTCTGGGAGCAGGGCTTCACAGATTGAGACAAATACCATGATAACTGGATGGCCAGCCTTCTTTTCTTCCAGCCCCTCATGACGCAGGTGACAGTGGGACCCCTTCTGTTCTTCATTCCATAGCGTTTCCGAGGAGCATCCTCAAACAAGACAGTGTTAACTGTGGAGAGCTACTTTGAACTCACAGTAGATATCTGTGGTAACAGATTCATTTAATAGCAAAAAGGACTGTGGAAAAGAAATCTCAATAGTAAAAGCACAGGAATATATTTACTCCTATTGCCTCTTGTGATGATTTCAGTCCTTCCAGATTAGAGAGGTGTGACAAAAGTAGAAGTACTTTGATGCTGTACTATGGAAAGCCTGTCAGTAATGACTTAAAGGGGAGTACAGATTTTATAAATGGGTGATTGTGGTTTTTTTTTGTACTACGGCTGGTGAGAAGTCCTTATAACACAAAACAGAGGAACCATATAGCACGAAACAGGAGGGACCATCCAGAAGACTGGATGTCTTGGGCAATCCAGAAAAGCAGCAGATTCTCACATGAACTTCTGTCATGTGATGAGCTGTTTTGAGTTCATGTTAGATTAGCAGTGGCTCCTTCAGATTTGTGTGTAGTCATGCATAGCCTGAGACTCA